GCCGTACACTCTGTGTGCATACACAGAAACACCGAAGAGCTCAAATACAGGTAAGGACAGCAGGAAACGGTACCCGGTGCTTCCAGCAGGCACCAGTACGCCAGTACCAGGGTGTACCACCTGCCACCCACCACTGGGGCAGAGCCTCCCACCGCCGCCACTACAGGTTTGCTCGATCTGGGGCGAACCGGCAGAAACCCACCTCTGGTTTAAGATCAGCCAAAGAAATTATCCTTTCTTTTTCAGGGTTTCAAACCAACTTATATTACTACAATATTTGTGGATATTTTAGGCAAGGTAAAGCCATCGTTGCAAATTATGGTTATTTAGCTAAGATAGATTCTGAATTAGAAAGCCAGTGAGGTATAGTGGTTAAGGCACCGGACTAAAAACTAGGAGATTGTGAGTTATAGTCCCGTCTTGGGCAAATAGTTGATTTGAGAGTGTGTTGTTCAGTGTATACATATGGCCTGGCTTAAAACAATAGACACAAACTTCTTAAATAGGATGCAGGCTACGTGGTGAGACCCTTCTCAGTCTCTGCTCAGCATTGGCTCTGGACATGCAGAAGTAGGCTTCAAAAATTTTAGCAAGGGGTTCTCTGCCTGGTTGCTTGGTGGACATGGCCATGGCTGGTGTGGCCTAGTGGCAGGCCAAAATTCCAAAGGGAATATAATTGCTTTAATATAATTGAATTAATATAATTCTACATGATACTAGGAACGCTGCCCCCTAGTCAGCCTCCTGCACCCCGGGGGGGGGGGTTCCCTCCCTAGCTCCGGAGTTTCCTTTCCCAAACTTCCAGTAGGCCAATTTTTCACCCTTCCCAAGCCTCTGTGTGTGCCTTGCACTTACCTACATCCAAAATGAGCCGCTTGGGGATTCCTGGGAGGATTGGGGTGTGCAGGGCAAGCCAAGAGGGGATTTGGGGGTTTTCTAAACTGCACATAATCTTAGCTAGAGGTTCTCCCGAACCCCTGCGAACCCCCAGCAGCCCACCCCTAGTTACATATCAACTGCAGATGGTACCTGTTCCCTTG